ATCTTTCTTCTATCATTGACAGTCCCTCTAGGTTGTGGGCTGCTTGCCTGTGTTCCTGAGAAGCATCTACGGTACCAGTCTATAGAGTGTGTTTTCTTTAGTGAATTACCGGTATGTTTACCGGTAATAAACTTGCACTGTTTTATGTATATGTTTGATTACATACAGCCTTGTGACAGTTTTCCTGCATGTCATAAGCATTTGAATATAAATTAAAATGTTAAAATCAAATCTGATATTGTTTTACCTTTTATTTGGTGTGTGGAAGGTGTGCGGAAGAGGGGGTAGTCTTATACGGCGAGTATATAACAAACTCTGTATTTTGAGTGGAAATGTTAGGGGGTCGTCTTATACGCCCAGTCGTCTTATACGCCGGCAAATACGGTAGGTAAAATGCATGAGATGAGGTGTAAGAATGTATGAGAAATGAATAGATGTTTTGGGCCAATTATATTAACATTAAGATGCATTTAAGATCAAAGGTTTCAGTATGTATCAATAAGCTTTAAGACTAGATTAGATATAAGAAACTAACTACTGAAAAATGGTACAAAAACTAGATGATCATAAATCAAGTTGCAGAAAAAATCACTTCATGGTGTAAAAATGGACAAAATGACATTACTACTTACAGTTAGAGGAACTGGATCTTGAAAGGCCAGGCTCATTTCATGGCAATATAGAAATAAAAGTAGGCGTTCACACTTCTAAGCAAAAAATAAAATGAAGTCACAGCTTATTTTTTGTAACAATGTCATATATATATCAAAGTACCAGAATAAAAATTAAAACCAGATGAATACAAGAAAAGTATTGATACTTAGAGTTTTTATCTCCTTCCCATTTACTAAACTGTACTGTTTGATAGCTTGGGATTTATGTGATATATGAGAGCAGTCCTTTGTAATTATAGGAACAAACACATTATCACTAGAAACCCATTTGAAGCTCTTAAAAATAAATTTCCACTTATTTCTCCAATTTGTATTAAATTATTAGTAGACAATAAAAGAAGAGATCTAAAGGTGGAGCCCTTTCCTGGTGTGTACAATCCTAAAGCCCTAAGGCAGATGGTGCTATCATGCACTCTGCTACTTCTCTGCTTATGTGGGCTTATACAAACGCTGAAGCACTATAGTGTGTGTCTGGCCCCGCTCTTGCATGACAACTTTCATACTCTTTGTTCTACTTAATAAGTGAGCAAAGGAGCTTCTTTAATAATACAGAAGTGTTGATTTAGTAGGTTTAAATGTTAATTACAGTTAAATATTTTAGCTGGCTTTAAGGTATAAACCTAGTACCACTGGGTGAAAGAATGGAAACAGAAAAACAAATTCTATTTCTCAACAAATTCTGAGGAAGAAAACCTATCTATAGTAGAAATAAAACAAAAAAAATTTACTAAAAGTAGACCAACTTTAAGAGTGCAGGCCACATAAAGGACACATATTCTACCTTGTTCAAGTACAGCTTCTAGAAAATGTATATGTAGTACTATGATTTTTTTCAACTGAAAAAGTTAGTCTGCCTCCAAGTATATTACTTAAAATCCCTACACTTTTGTGGCAATAAATACTAAAGAAAAAAGAAGTTAATGTGAAAAGCACACCTGCATTACAATAATGCATTTAACCAAAAAAACAAAACAAAACGGTGTAACAGTCTAGGTTGGAAATGCTCACAAACTTACCCTTCTATCTATTGGTGTTAATTTACCAAGACTTTCAGTTTTCTTTTTTTCTGAGTTGTGACTGGGAGCATCACAATCATATTCAACTTCTGGTTTGGATAAGTCTCGGCAGAAAGTGCAAATCCACTCTCCACTGTTGGGGGATAAAGTATTTGAATTATAATGCATTGTTTTGCTCTTCACCATATCTCTTTTCTACTTCCTCCATGCCATCTATGATACAGAATTACTTATTTGGCATGAATTTCAATCACTGAAGAATTACTGTATATCTACTAAGCACTCAGCTCCATCCTGAGAGAGCTGAACAATTGTAATAATACAGCGCAAGAGCCTAAGGGGTATAAATATTAGTCTAGCTAAGGAGGTAAGAAATACATATACAAAATAAACACTTAAATAAACAGACACATTAGTCTATGGCTGATGTGATGTGTAACTCATATTTTTACCACAAATAATTCAAGACAAAAATCCTTCTTGGTACTATTCTTGCAACTTTGTTTGAAATTAAATTTTAAATAGGCCTCTGAGGAACTGAGAGATTAACTCAATGCTCTTCTTCATCATCATCTCAAAGGGACTGTGAGACTTTGAGATATTTATAAATGTCAGTGCCTGCCAAATAAGATGCCATTGTGGCAGTTGTGCATAAGGACCATTGTTCTTTATGGCAACCCCATGTAATAAGTTAAAGTTTTTTTCTTTTCATAACACTAGGTTTTTGAGAGAAGCACAAGGAATTAGAGGCAGGGTATGGGAAGGAAACCCTATGTTGTAGGTTTTGAAGTATGCATTTGTGTAAAGTGGGCTTTTATTTTTAAGGTTTTACAATGGTTTTAGGTTATAATAATTGTCACCCTTTTCTTTGCCCCTGGTCTGTTATATTCCATTTCTGGGTTCTTGTTTTCCTCTTTTTTGGATTACTCAATATTTGATGAATCATATTGTAAAATAGCTTTCTGAGATGAGTATATGGAAATGAAATTTTTTTCAATCTTGCATGCAAGTCTAAAAATGTTTATTTAGCCCAAACTAGTTTGGCTCAGTGGATAGAGTACTGGCCCATTATTATTGACCAGTAGCCCTGCGCACGAATTCATGCACCAGTAGATCGCTGCCGCCCTCCTGTAGCTCCCCTCGTACCCTCATAGCTTGTTGCCCTGCCCTCTCCTGTAGCTCTCTGCCACCCACTTGTAGTCAGTAGGTTGCTGCCGCCCTCCTGTAGCTCCCCATGCCCCCTCTTCATAGCTTGTTACCCTGCCCTCTCCTGTAGCTCTCCGCCTCCTGCTTGCTTGCTGCCCTGCCTTGTCCTGTAGCTCTCTGCCACCCACTTGTAGCTAGTAGGTCGCTGCTGCCCACTGTCCCACCCTCCTGTAGCTCCTGTCCCCTCCCCCCACCCCCTTATAGCTTGCTGTCCTGCTCCCTCCAGTAGCCCTCCACAGCCCACTAGTACCTTACTGGCCCACCCTCCTGCTGATCTGTGATCTGGTCGTGATGTGCTTGGTCATTACGCCTCAGGGGGTAATGGCTAATTAGCATATTCCTCTCATTATACAGGGCTAGCGACCCGGTGCACAAAATTCGTGCACAGGTAACGTCCCTAGGCCTGGCCAGCAATCAGAGCTAATCGGGGCCTTCCAGCATTATACAGGGCTAGCGGCCCGGTGCACAAAATTCGTGCACAGGTAAAGTCCCTAGGCCTGGCCCGTGATCAGCGCCATCTTCCTTGGCTGCCGGCAGCTGGCCCTGCCTCCTGCCGCCACCCACCCCCGGTTCCCCATTCAACATTGGGAGATCAGAACCTGCTGGCCAGGGAGTGGGACCGAGAGGTGGTCAGTGCACCTCATAGTGACTGGTCGAGCGATCATTCTGCTGTTCAGTCAATTTGCATATTATATATATATTAGAGTCCTGATGCATGAAATTTGTGCAAGAGTTGGCCTTCCTTCCCCTGGCTGCTGGCACTGGCCTCCCTCTGGCACCTGGGACTCGGGCTTCCCTCACAGCCCCAGCTTCCTCCAGGAGGATGTCCAGTCTAATTTAACATATTATGGTTTTATTATTATATAGACAGATGTGCTCCAATCCTTCCACTTCCAGGGAAAGGGGCAAAGGAGGGTTGCTAAAAGTGATAAGGGAGGCAGCAGGGTGAACTTTTCTTTGGGGGGGGTGTAGAGTTTCCTCCTGATGAGGGGCTTCAAAGGGCAGTGGCCTACTTCTGCTACCCTCTGTCTCTAGAGATGCAATTTCTGATTGGCATTTGGCAGGACAGAGCAGTTGCAGGTACAGGACTGGGAGAGCCTTTCTGCATGCAGCTCCCTGGAGAGTCTCTTCTGGTCAAGGAAAGCTTTGTTCTAACCATTTCTCCTGGAGCCAGTACTACTGGGTGGTCTGGGGCAGAATGGAGGTGAGGCAGGGCAGAAAGAAGTATGGGGTAGAAGACTGGGGGTGGGGAAGAAAGAGGGTGAAATCTGTGTGTGTGTGTGTGTGGGAGACCGGGGGAGGGGAGGGATGATGCAGAGGGAGAGTTGGGGTCAGCATAGGAAGGTTTGGAGGTACTAGGCGAGTAAGAGGGACCAGCAGATGCCAGAATAAGGGTCTACGGAATCAGGTGGAGGTCCGCGAGGCTGAGTACAAACTAAGTCTTTTCCCAGACCCTGCCATCCCAGATGACTAGTGGGAGGGGTCCATAGTGAGGCGCTGAGCTCCCTACACTTTGTCTGAGGCTCCAGAACATGTGGCCAACACGCCTCATCCCTGCCCCCCCTACCAAAGTGCTGCCATTTGGAATGCATTTGCAGACACAGGGATTGTTTTTAAGTTAATGGTTTTTAATTCACTCTGCTTCCCTCTTGTTTTTTATTGAAAAGGCGGATTCTGCTGGTGTGTGTTCCTTTGCGGGGGTGGCAGGGGTGTTCTTCACAGGCAGAGATCCGATGAGAGACAGAGACAAGAGGCCCAGCAAGACATGGGGAATGAGTAAACAGGATCAGAGAGCAAGGAACAGCGAAGAGAGATGCACAGGGCGAGACAGACAGACACAGAGAACCCAGGAAGGCTAAAGGAGGGACTCAGCCCTAAGAGCAGAACAAGTGTGCTGAGAAATCCTGCTTCAGGAAGGCTGAATCCTCCACCTCCAACTAAGGCCCCTGGGGCTGAGCTTGCTCTCCTCTGTGCTCTGGTTCCATTCAGTGTAGACATGGCTGAACAGGCCTCAGGAAAGGGCTGAAAGGATGTGGTGAGCAAGGACTGAGTACACAGGACCAGGGTTGCCGAGGGCTAGGGATCCAAGACCAGACTGAGAGAGGAGGACCTGGAGGCATTCCCTCCCAGGTCCCTGCACACCTTATGTTTTTAAGCAAAGCCCGAATCCCAAATCCTGTGCCACGGCTCTGGAGAGTGGCGGCCCTGGCCTGCTGTGCCGCCTAGGGCGAGTTCCCTAACCTCTCTGAGCCCTGGCTATGCCACCTGCAGGAGAGGACCGCTGGTGGCTGAGGTTAGAAATGGCTTGGGAGGCAAGGAGATAAGAGCACAGTTTAGGACACCTCGGTTTGGCGGTTACATCCGAAATCCCAGGGCTTTTTGGCCTTGGCCACTGCCCTGGGCTCACGTTTATGTAGGACTTGCACAAATGGGAGAGCTGGGCACTAGCACCTTCCTTCCTTCACAGCTGAGAACCAGTTCATCCTCTCTCTACCCCCGCCATCCCTCCTCTCCTCAGTGCCTGGTACTCGTGAACCTTCCCAGCAGCCAGTGTAGACACATGACCAAGGACACACAAAAATATCTCCAATCCAGCACGTGGTGGCTCTGTAGACAGTTGGGCAAACACAGACACATGACACTGGGTGCTGTAGACAGTTAATAGAGCTCCCTGGCCCAATGAGAGGGCTCATTTGGCAGAGTAGTGGCTCTATGAGCGAGTTTACCCCGGGTGCAGCTTCCAACCCCGGAGTAGGCGAACTGAAAGCCCAAGATAATTAGAGCTAATTACATATGTGCAAACAGCCAAAGCAGAGGCCGTGGGCCAGTCACTCCTCCCCTGCCTGCCCTCTGCAATCCCACCCCAGCAAAGGGGTCTTGCTGGCACAGCTGGGCTGTGCGCCTGGGGAAGGGCGCACAGGTGGAGAGCCCCTGGGGGGGCCCAGGGGTTCGGGTGAGCCCTCCACCTCCAGAGCACCCCGCCCCCGTGATTACACACTCCAGCGCATGCTGCGGCCCCAGAATGGCAGGTCGCAACTGGGTTAGGAATTGGACCAGAACTTGGTCCAAGCATTATTGACCTTGTGCTGAGCGGGCCCTGGTGGCATGGGCCCCAGCATTTGGGTCTTTAGGTTTCTATTATCTTGGCCTCCTGAGCATTCCGTCTCTGCGAAGATTCGAGATGGGGCTCTCCTTGTATCCTGCCACAGGGATGCCTGTCTGGAGCTGAGGCCGCAGGATGAGGAAGGGACAGAGTCTGGTGCTTGGCTTTTGGTGATGAGTTTCTCTCTGCCTGGATGTGCCACAGGACCCCAAAAGAGTGATCTCTGAGCTTTCATTTGCATGTCTATACCGTGCATGCCTCCTCTGAGCGGGCCTAAGCTGCAATCGCACATCCTTAATGCTGCCGAGAAGACGGGAGAGCCTCCTGCCACCACCACTGCGCTCGCAGCTGTCAGCCCAGCTTATGGCTGAGTGGAGCTCCCCCATTGGGAGCACACTGACCACCAGGGGCAGCTCCTGCATTGAGCGTCTGTCCCCTGGTGGTCAGTGCATGTCATAGCGAGCAGTCGTTCCTGGTCATTCTGCCATTAGGGTCAATTTACATATTACCCTTTTATTATGGTGTACGGGTGGGCGCCCACCAGCCTGCCCTGATGGGGGCCCCCGATTGGGGTCGGGGTCCCCGCTGGGGGAGGGGGCCAGCCAGGGCGAGGGGCTGAGGTCATTCTGGTCATTCCACTGTTTTGGTCACTGGGTTTTTATTATATAGGATAGTGAAAGAATGTGGAAAAGGGAAGCAAGTACTATCTTACCTTGGAAAATTTGCCAATGTCGGCACATGACAAGAAAGATGAAATACTTTGGGACACTTCTCACAGCACAGGAGTTCCCCTCCATTCTGACAAACTGCACACCAGTCCTCATTGGGGTCATCTTCTTTCCTTGTCTCTCCAACATGAAGAGGTGACTTTTGGGAGGCATCCAGCCACGCAGACTTTCCATTTGAGGAATTTTCCTGGTGAAGTCCAGGTTGATCTCCTGTGCTATCAGGAGCATCTGATCTGAGCACAGACTCCTCAGAAGAAGAGGTCTGACTACTATTTAAGAGCAGGGAGGTCAGTATGCTTCTTGGATAGTTAGTCTGCAATGGAAGGAGGTAAGAGTATATGTATTCTTAAAACTGGCATTCTTAATTAGCACTATTATAATTTTAGACCAAAGACTGCTCTCTCATGGGCACCTGGTAACTTCAAAGGAGTCTATGAACATGCATGAGAAAAAAGAATTATCTTTACTGCTAAATGTATTAGAATCTCTAGTGGTGAAGAAGACATGGGCCTTTACTGGAAAACATCATCAAAATAGAATATCAGTACTTAGGGAGTGTGGACAATAAAGAAAAATTATATGAATTTGCTGATGAGTTCAGAAATGGGAGAATGGGTGGGTAGTGTAGAAGTCAACCATAGGAAATATAAGTACATTTTAGTGGACCTGTTCATTTAAATTATACCTAGACATAAAACATGCCTAGTATAGATTTTTTAAAAATCATTCATAGAGCTATTAGTAACTTTAAGATAAATAAAGATTTTATGTTGGAGCCTAGGATGATGAAAATGTCAAATCACTAAGTCATTTTCACAATCTCCAAGTGTTATGAAATGCTCCTCAATGCTGTCAAAACATTTTCCTACCCTTACATACATTCCTATGGAGTCCTCTGTCCTCCTGTTACAGAGTATAGTGAAGGAGCTGCTGTACTGGGGACTACCCTTTTCTTTGCCCCTGGTCTGTGTTATATCCCATTTCTGGGCTCATTTTTCTTTTTCTTGGTCTACTCCATATTTGATGAATCACACTGTAAAATAGCTTCCTGAGAATGAGTACATGGAAATTAAATTTTTTTCAATCTTCATGCATGTCTAAAAATGTTTATTTACCCCTAGCTAGTTTGGCTCAGTGGATAGAGTGTTGGCCCATGGACTGAAGGGTCCCATGTTGGATTCAGGTCAAGAGCACATACCTTGATTGTAGGCTCAACCCCTTACCCTGGTCAAGGTGTGTGTGGGAGGCAACCAATCGATGTCTTTCTCTCACATTGATGTTTTTCGCTGTCTCTCCTCCTCCCTTACACTCTCTCAAAAAAATCAATAGAAAAATATCCTCAGGTGAAGATTAACAAAAACAAACAAACAAAAAGTTTCTTTCACTAATGTTCTGGTACTTATTAGGCCCTTTCAGTTCAGATGTCCATGCCTTTCAGTTACACGAAGTTTCATTATATTTGAAGTCATTGATATAATTAAAAAGTATATACATATATAATATAGAATATATATGCATATATTTTTAAAATATATTTTATTGATATTTTACAGAGAGGAAGGGAGACGGATAGAGAGTTAGAAACATCGATGAGAGAAACATCAATCAGCTGCCTCCTGCACCACCCCTACTGGGAATGTGCCCGCAGCCAAGGTACATGCCCTTGGTCGGAATTGAACCTGGGACCCTTCAGTCTGCAGGCTGACGCTCTATCCACTGAGCCAAACCAGTTAGGGCAATATATATATATTTTTTTATTGACTTCACAGAAGAAGGGAGAGGAGGGGTAAAACCATTAATGATGAGAGACAATCATCAATCAGCTGCCTCTTGCACGCCCCACACTGAGGTTCAAGTCTGCAAACTGGGCATGTGCCCTGACCAGGAATCAAACTGTGACCTCCTGGTTCATAGGTTGACACTTAATGACTGAGTCACTTTCAGCTGGGAGATATAATTACATTTTGAGGCCTAGTTTCTTCATCTGATTCTTGTTTCACTATCACAACGGGAAAATCATAATTTTCCGGTGGTCCACCATTTTCTTGTTTTATTCGGATTGGCTCCAACATGACCACTGGGACTTTGTGTGTAGAGTCAGCTCCTGCTGGTTTGCTAGAAGAGCCAGAGCTATAAGTGTAAGAAAGAAAGAAATAACCATCTAAGAATGCTACCTTAAGTATCTCCAAATAAAGTATAACCGCTTTGAGAATAATGACCTATCTTCACAGCAATGGTAGCTACTATATCAGCAATAAATAATACATAACTTAAATGCACTCGCTATGTACGAAGTTTCACTTATGAATAAAAAATGTTCTACCTATCAATTTATCTAAATAGTTACGTTACATCTGAAAAGATACTTAAATAAATTTAAATAATACCACAATTAAAAGACAACTGCCTTCAATATTCTGAAGCTCTAAAATTGGGCAGCTAGATTTAGTTCTTAAAGCTAGCATCTTTTTTTAGGCTTTTCCATTTCTTTCTCTAATCAGTGAAAAAGAGAACTCTAGGCTCATATTAATGATTTATTATTATGAAGTGTGAAGATAATGAGGGACATAATTTATTGATGTTCTGCTATTTAAAAAATGTAGTGGGGAAAAAAGCTTTTACAGATAGCCACTATGTTTTCATGGAATTGAATCTAAACTTTCTCTTTTCAGAGAATGCTCTTTCCATGTGATGAGCAAAGCAGTAAGTTAAAATAGAATTTCAACAAATGTAAACTTATTTTTAAAGCAAAATCATTTGGTCATTAGAAAATTCAGAAAACACTGAAATTAGCATAAAATTATTTTTTCTTTTGCCTAAGTTTGTATTTGTGTGTATTCTCATATAGTACAGTGTGTTATATCCCACATTTTTATTTTTTCCTTGCTATTATGATAAAATCATAACATTTTATTTTCAACATATATACAAAGATATTTGTATCTTTAAAATTAAAATTATAATTTATTTAATCCATTATGTTAGTTTATTAAATTAATGTAATATATAATAATTATTAAATTATTTTAATTTAAAAGTAAAAAATAAAAAAAGTTGTTAAAAATGTATTGACTACCCAAAGTGTGTTGAGCACTGGGGCAAATAAATATAATTAGAGATTTTCTATCTGGAGAATAAGGTTAAGTTAGCTTACCTTCCTCGACTCCCAACACTTGAGGCACTAGGTGAACGTATTGGCGGGTGTACACTAGTCATAGTAACAGGTCCTGAAGAGAAGGAAATCAAACACATTCATAAAATGAATAATTATGTACTTAATCCCAATTGAATGTGCTCACTTAGTACTACACTGAAACTGAACACATAAAGTATATAAAAAAGTAAGTAGTTGCTAAACTCCTTGCACACGAGTTGAAATTGAAAAGGTACAGAGGCTTAACCTTTGATTTCTACTTTGAAAGTACTGTATACTATACTAATTTTAAATTGTGCCAAATCCTTTTAAATCATCCAACAAAAAGGGGGAGGATTGTGGGAGTTTTTTAAATTACAAATTGAGAAAAAACTGGAAAAACAAAATCAAAAGGAGCCCACTTTACCTGCAAGACCTGGAGATGGCACTGATGAATTTGGTGACTGGACAGTCCTGTTTGAGGGTGGTCTTGGCTGGCCATGATCTATACTAGTATCCTTCCTCACAATATTGTCCAGCATAATAGTACTTGAACAGTCAATCTTACAAAAAAAGAAAATTATTTCATGGTATCCATGGTTTGCAAGTTAAAAACCACTTTAAATGAATAAGAAAACTTTAATAGTTTAATTATCACCAAATACTAAAACAAGAAAAATTGTATTTGAGAAGTTCTGATGCTTATCTTCCCCATAACAATCTTTAAAAAAACTTGCACTCTTATTGCTGGTTCGATTCCTGGTCAGGGTACATGCCCAAGTTGGGGGTCGCGATCCCAGTAAGGGTGTGCAGGAGGCAGATGATCAATGATTCTCCCTCATCACCTTTGTTTCTCCCTCTCTCTCTAAAAAAAAACAACAAAACAAAACAATAAAAACATTAAAAAACAACAACAAAAACTTGGCACTCTTCTATTTTGTTAATCCTCACCGAGGATATTTTCCCATTGATTTTTAGAGAGAGTGGAAGGGAGGGGGAGAGACAGAGAAAAACATCGATGTGAGAGAAGCCCATTGATTGGTTGCCTCCAGCTTGCACCAGGACCAGGGATGAAACCTACAACTGAGGTCCGTGCCCTTGACCAGAATTCGAACCCGAGACCTTTTAGTCCAAGGGCCGATGCTCTAACCATAGAGCACCAGGCCAGGGCTTTCACTCTGCTTAAATGTTACATGTTAGTAAATACACCGAACAACATTTGCAGAACACTAACGTCAGCTAAGCACACTATTACCATTTGGTAGGAATAATATACAATGTTTCAGAAATCATAAGCCAAGAGGAAGAAGTGCTGTATGTCATTCACACCCTTAAAAATTAAAGCAAAAACATTTTTAATACTTAATTTATTTAACAATAACAAAATGTAGCCAATTAAAAAAAAGCCTGGTGAGAAAAGTAGCAAAATTTCACATTTTTGCAGATTTCTTTAGCATCTTGCTTAATAACAGCTAACGGGATTCTTATATCTGCTTATGTACTAAATCTCTTTTGATGAGTGATTTTGATTGAAGAATATGAAGAAAAATCAGGCCTTACACAGGGAAACCTTATGGAACCTCTGAAAGGGTTGTAGAGACACCTGTGTCCCTGGCCCATACTTTGAGAACTGAGGCTTTGGTCTGCACCAGAAAGCTGAAGCAACATTTCCAGAACACTAACGTCACCTAAGCACACTATTACCGTTTGGTAGGAAAAAATGATCCCTGATAGATTCTTGCTTTAATAAAATAGGTATACAAATAACACGTTTCATAAGTGATTACCAGGCTAAAATACTGATAAATTTCTATCAAGTAAGACTTTAATGCTTTAAATGCAAATATTTTTCATGCTTCTATATACCATTTATTTCCAAGGATGTCTTTGTGATTTAAATCCAGTTCAATTTTCTAATACAGTTGCAACCTTTCTCAACCAGGATTCTACGAAAGAACTAAGTCCTGTAGTCCTAAGGCACAGACTGTATAAAACAAATTTACTTCTTGCCTCTGCATTTAGAATGGTACTAGTTATGAACCATCCTTAGGAGGACTGAGAAAACAGACTCTCAAAGCAGTTTCTTGTTCTGTGGGTTAGATGAGGAATCTCAATTGAGAAAGGCTAGTGAATACAGAGTCACCTCTATCTGCAGAGACTGCAGAGAAAAGAGCAGAAGGATAATGTTAATATTTGTAGGTCATCTTTCATTTGGGGGAGCAGGAAAGTACCAAGGTCATTTATGTTTAATATTTTTTTCTGGCAATACCTTAAGTCAGTACTTTTTAGAGAGTGCAAAGAGCATTGAAATGATTGGATTTGAAAGATCTTAATTTAAGAAAAGTTATTTACAACTGTGGAGTAATCCTAAAAGCTAAAACAAAATTATCAGAATGAGACAAAAAGTTTTTCTATATATTACCTGTTTGAAAAATACATGTACTCTACCATTTAAAGTATATATAATTATTTAAAAAAATGAAATAACTTTGTTAAGGTTAATGATGTCACTATTGGGAAATGTTAGTTGATCTCAGTAACTTTAAATAAAAATTTTAAAATTCTTTCACAATCTTACAAGATATTAAAAGTTTTTAATATTTGTGTGCATGATCACCTAACCTTGTAGGATAACAAAATACAAAACAAGTATCAACTTATGTATGGAGATCAGTCTACAGAATATTTTCTGCCTTTTGAAAGATTTTTAAAAAGTCATACTAACAAAGCTAGGGAGTATAACAAAGCTAAACACACACTAGAGGCCCAGTGCACAAAAATTTGTGCACTCGGGGTGTGGGGGGGGTCCCCTCAGCCCGGCCTGTGCCCTTTCGCAGTCTGGGACCCCTTAGGGGATGTCCACCTGCTGGCTTATGCCCGCTCCCTGGGGGATTGGGCCCAAGCTGGCAGTCAGACATCCCTCTGGCAGCCCGGGAACCCTCGGGGGATGTCCACTTGCCAGAGGGGAGCAGGCCTAAGCTGCAGTTGGACATCCTTAGTGCTACTGAGGAGGCGGGAGAGGCTCCCACGACCACAGTGATTCCCAGTCGCTCTGTTAGGGTCAATTTTCATATTACCCCTTTTTCATATAGGATAGAGGCCTGGTGCACAGGTGGGGGCCAGCTGGTTTGCCCTGAAGGGTGTCCCGGATCAGGGTGGAGGTTCCCGCTGGGTTGCCTGGCCAGCCTGGGTAAGGTGCTGATGGCTGTTTGCAGGCTGGCCAAGCCCCCCAGCAGGGACCCTCACCCCATGGGGGTGTGGCCAGCCTGGGTGAGGGGTTGAGGGCCGTTTTCAGGCTGCCCACAGCCCCTTCCGGGTGGGGGGGTCCTGCTGGGGTGCCTGGCCAGCCTGGATGAGAGGCTGAGGGCTATTTTCAGGCTGGCCATGCCCACCTGGCGACCCAAGCTCCTAGCCTCTTTTTCTTTTTTTTTTTCCAGCGCCTCCTTGAGTGGAGGCCAGGGTGGGCTGGAAGCAGGTATCTGGGATTTATTTATCTTCTATAATTGAAACTTTGTAGTCTTGAGCGGAGCCCAGGGCAGGCCAGGGCAGGCGGGAAGCTTTGCTTCCTCCATCACCGGGGGCAACCCGAGCCTCCTGCTCAATTTAGCTCCGTGGCCGCCACCATCTTAGTTCGGTTAATTTGCATACTTGCTCCTGATTGGCTGGTGGGTGTAGTGGAGTGATGGTTAATTTGCACCTTTATCTTTTATTGGTGTACATGTATGTGTGTGTGTATGTATATGTGTATGTATGTGTGTATATATACACACACACACACACACACACACAGATATAGATATATATATATATAGATAGATAGATATATCTATATATATATATTGTTTTTAAAATAAACTTTTATTGATTTCAGAGAGGAAGGGAGATGGACCAAGATAGAAACATCAATGATGAGAGAGAATCATTGATTGCATGCCTCCTGCATGCCCCCCACTAGGGAACTAGCTGCAACCCGGGCATGTGCCTTTATCTGGAATCGAACCTAAGACCCTTCAGTTCACAGGCTGATGCTCTATCCACTGAGCCAAACCAGCTAGGGAGAGCGTTAATATATTTAACTTAAGTAGAAATCAGAGGTAGTTTTGCACTGGTATGATGTAACAGAAAATATTTTCATTTCTAATAGTAAACTTGCCTCCATCTCTGCTAATGTCTTTAATTCTAGCCTCCCTCTCTAATCTGATATTTTCATATCACATTCCAGCAATTCACCTCTCCAGTACCTCTTTCCCATGTCTTTTCTTCCCTGCTTTCCCAGCTTAGATTTCATATCCATCACCACAATCATTCATTTCGATAATCCATCACCATTTTGTAAATCATTCATTACAAACACCTTAAGCTCCAACACCTTGAAAGATATTATGTAGTATGGCCAAGTGTCTATAATCTTTTTATCTTTCTTGTTATATCACTAAAGGATGTAAGTAACTTCTAAAACAAACACATACAACCTATAATGCAACAAACTCATGCCTTTTACCAAATCCAAGTCCACGTAAAATTTTCTAAATAGATTCTTAAAAATTCTCTGTATACTTACATCTGGCAGAGAAGGAAGATTATAGGAACCTCCCACTGGTGAGCTCAAATCAATCATAGGTGAACTAAAAGCCTTTCCATCATATCCTGCTGCACTAGTAATGGTGGGACTGGAAGGAGTAGAGGATGTGCTATTGGCAGTTGATGGGGGGGCCTGTCCACTGCAAATCTGCCACTACAGTAGAAAGAGAAAGAAAAGTTGTCCATCAGCAGACTTATAACATAAAATGTCCACCTAATCCCAATCCAGACATAAAACAAAACAGAAGACAGATTCTGCAATTTGAATTCAATTGTAATTGGAAGAGGGAGAGGGCACAGGTATACATAACTTTCATGAATCCTGTTGAAAAATAAAAAGCGCTGATTTTTACCAGAAGACAGCAATTAGTATACACCAGAAAACCACAGTACCAATCTTAGAAAGCTTGTACGTACTGGAAAAGAAATATAAACACATGCGCAGCAACCTCAAGGTAAAGATGGAAGGCAAAAAACATACATTTTCTGCTGTCCCTACCTGATATGAAACTAAAATAATGGTTAAAAGGAATTTTTAAAAGGCACGGAGTCATAAAGACAAAGAAAACAGGAGAAGACAGAAACGGAAAGCAGATGGACAAATAGAAAATTACTTAATCAATTTGATAAAGCTGAAATCTAAGGCAGCAGTGGGGAAAAAAGAGAAGGAAATCAACATACACTGCAGAACCCCTAAAAGCTTGGGAATTAAAAGTATGAGAGGTGAAGCTGGGGCTAAAAACAGAATAATCTGAGTGCTTAAGAAGTGATAAATCTTGTGTTTCTTTCCTACTCTACCTGTAGTTACCCCAAGGTAATAAGGGCTTCCTTCACCTACACAGCAAAAGGCTAGAAGTTTATTCTCCAAAACAGGAAGATCAGTGTCTTTAGACTGAAGAGCACCATATTCAGTTGCAGGCAGAAGTACTGCATGGAAAATGAAGATTCAGAAACCATACACACACTGAATGCTGAGCTTCTCACCCAGTCTGCTGATGGCTTACTCTCTATCTTCTTCTCCCAGCTGGCTTCAACAAGTAGCCAGACCCTGCATTTTAGGCAGAAGACAAAAAGATCCCTTGGGGAATGGATCAGCCTAAGAGTTAAGACCTAAAGATGATGACTTTAGGAATTCTCCCAATAAACACTGCTAGTAGCCTTAATATTAGAGTGAAACCTCAATCATCAAACACTAGCCCAAGACCCAAGATTTCAGATTTTTTAAACTCATTTCTTATATCTGAACAGGTAAGCAAGCATCATTTACGTTAGTGGCCAAGAAAAATATATTAACTAAGCTAACACTAGGAATGCTTAAGTGTACAGAGATGAACCATGCCGCTGTCTTTAATCTACATCGAAATCTATAAAAAAAAAAAAGACTTGATTGACTGGATCAAGAGGTATATGCATAATAACTGAGAAAGCATATAAAACAATTTTTCCTCTATACAACTCTTCCAAATTGTTATGTTACAAACATCTATAATAATAAAAGTGTAATATGCTAACTAGATCAGACAGCCAAATGACCTTCCGGACATCATTCCCAACGTCCTTCTTGACTAAGCCGCGGCAGCAGGGGCTGAGGCAGAGGTGGTTAGGGGTGATCAGGCAGGCAGGCGAGCAGTTAGAGGCAATCAGGCAGGCAGGCAGGGTGGTTAGGGGTGATCAGGTAGGCAGGTGAGCAGTTAGGGACAATCAGGCAGGCAAAGTGGTTAGGGGCAATCAGGCAGGCAGGCTAAGTGGTTAGGGGTGATTGGGCAGGCAGAGGGATTAAGGGCGATGAGGCAGGCAGGCAGAGTGGTTAGGAGGGGGAAAAAAGGAAAGCAACTAAGAGCTATCTCAAGACTGTGCAGAGGAAAACATTCCCAAATACAATATCATTAACATATGGCCTACATTATATGGAGGGATAGTGTCTGAAACATTCTAATTTATATGCTCCACTGAAAAAACTATGTAAGGAAACCTGTGAATGTGAAAGTTATCTTTACTACCTACCCCACCTCTCATATCCACCCACCTCTCCCATCTCTGCCCACCCTTCCTTTCTCTGGACTCATGTCCTCCTTTGCTCCCTAGAATAATCAGCTACAGCTGATGTATGACCCTCCAGGTTTTCTCTCTATATATAATATTAAAACAACAACAAAACCCCACAAAAATAAGATAATACCTCACAAGAATTTAGCATGTTTTCCCTCCATATAATATACTTAGATCATATATAGACTACTGGATGTTCTTAATAGCTAAAAGGTATTCCCATTGTACAAAGATAATTTGTTTTAAAAAAAATCTACCAATTAAAACCAATTCTCCACTACATTTTCTACTAGCTTGTTCATTTATTCATTCATGTTTAGATTTTTGATCAGGAAACATTCTTAAGAGTGTAGGTTTACCCAGTGCAAATAATAAATGGGGAAAAGGGAAAGTAAAGTTTGTGTACACAGAATGTGGTAGGTATTTTAATACACATTAGCATTAAGTCTCAACACAACTCTATAAAGCATTAATTTTATATTTAGGGTGAATAAGATTTAAAATATTAACCTTGCAAAGGCCAAAATCTAAGGTCAAACTGTTGTTTGGACCCTTTTCTCTTCACCTCTAATGATGAAATAAAGATAGTAATGAATTTTACACACGTGAAGTGTGTATACTTTTAAGATAAAATTTTCAAATCATTTGATTGAAATGAATGTCACAGAATTACGGAAATAGCATCATATGGATTTTAGCCTTGGCAAAATAATTAAGCTGAAATCAATCTACAAGTCTTAGCTGGAAGAACTATTGACAAAGTGCTTAGAGAAGACAGGCACTGAGAGGACATTTACTTTTTTAAAAAAATATGTAATACCTAGAATATATTTTTATCTGAAGACATTAAGAATATAATGTCTTAAGAATATTAAGACATATATCACTATTAGAAAAATCAATACCTATGACACACTGATTATTCTGGGCTTTCATTCATATAAAGTGGCTTGATTTTTTCTTGTTAATTACAAAGTATCAAGACCTTTCTCTCAGCTTTGTCTCTATAAGTCAGTCTATAATAAATTTTGTAATTCACTTTTTTTTTTTTACACAAAAGCTTGCTCTTACTTTTCATAACTGTTACTTTATCCATAAATTCAATGTAATTGCAAAGTAGCAAAAGGAAAATAAGTGAATATGTATACCTGCTTTATCGCTTGTTGAGCCAAGAAAGCCATCTGTAAGGGATTGGGCTTTATTGCTTGCCGTGGCATATTCTGGGTTGGTGGATATCTCAGCTGTTGAGAATGAGGAGGGAGAACTGGTCCACTGGGTTTGGGGCTGTGATTCTGAAAATTTATCAAACGCGGAGGGGGTTGCTGAAAAAAAGAAATAAAACCAATTCAGTGACAAAAATCTGAAAGATAAAATTATAAAGCACTCTATTTTATTACTTTTACAGAAAAACAGCAACTCTGCCACAGATGAATCAATAATTAACACTACAACAAGGGAATAGGGGAATAAGGCAGCCTTCCAGAATGTATAGAAGCAATTTAAAGAAAAGGAGTTTTATTAAGAGCGTTGGTGGAGGGGTTTCCGATTTTAAGTAGGTTATACCAGGATTGGGCCTATGCCATGTGGGGAAGTAGGGAAAATTTATCTTTGGTTCTCAGTCCTTGTTTATGATTAAGTTTTGCAAAGAATTGCCCTCTTCAAACCTCGTAAATAAGGTGGTGGTAAAATAATAATTGCTAACATTTATTTATCAGTTATTATACACCAGGTACTGTTTTAGTTCTTTACATGTGTTAACTCATTTAATCTTCACAACAATCCTGTGAGGTAAGGACAATTTAAGTATATTGTCAAAAATTAAAGATAGTAAGGGATAGAGCTGGCATTTGAATTCAAGTTCTCTGGCTCTAAAGTCTGTACTCTCACCCAATAAATCATTAATAATGAAAAGAGCTGATATTAAGTAACATTTTGAAGTAAATGAATTTTAGATGTTATTTAAATAAAACTATATGCCAGGCATTGTGATCAGCATTTTACTCTCCCCTTATTTTAAAAATTAGGACACTATACATCAGAAAGCTTAAATAACTTGGAAAAAAAAAAAGCCACACAGCTAGTAAAAAGGCAACACTAAGGTTTTTCTCCAAATCTAGTCTGCCATATTATTACCAAATCATGTTCTCTTATTTTGCTAGGGGTTAATATACTAATTACAGCTTAGAGGATGTGTTTCCCAAAAAGAAAATAGATTTGAAAGGAAACCCTTCAAGGACAAAATTGTTTGATTACAGGATAGGGCAAGGGCTGGGAAGGCAAGCTTACTTTGCTCTTAAATGCTAGCCCTAGAAACTGAGACCAGTGTTCTAGAAAAAGGTAACCTTATATGCCAGTATCTCTTGCCTATCCAATTCTCTTTATGGTTGGCAACTATTGCAAATACTTACTTGCAGGCTATCTTAACAGTTTATTTTTACGACTAGAACTTCTCAGAGAGGAAACTATTAACTCTCACATTCACAGGGGACAATGAATGTGGAATTTATAAAGTTGAATTAGCAACACCTTAAACTTTGAGTCTGTGAAGGCAGAGGAGCTATAAAGAGGATAGCCCTGTCTTCTCTTTCCGCTCCCATTTTTGGAATTTCCTTTCCTGGATAACATTGCTTCTCTCTCCCCACTCTTACAAATTAATTAGCACTGGGTTCACCCTCAGTAACTTTCTTAAGAGTAATTATAAAACCAATGAAAAATAGATTTAAATATTGTTTCAAGACCAAGGAAAATTTTGTGGGTGAAAAATAAGTGTCAAAATTTTACAAAAGTAAAAAGCCTGAAGCAATAAAAATTAATTTTTATTCTTCTACTAAAGTTTTGTGATTTGAAGGGTTTTATATCATAAAAACACAAAGAGAAAATAGTTGGAGAATCATAGTGAAAAACTACATTTATCTGTAGTTTTTTTAAAAAGTGGAAAAGCACCCAAAATAATCCGTAAGGGAGAATCCTTAGTTGTAGAAGCTTCTGCTACCATGCTATCACACCCTCACCCAGATTCAGTCAAGATACTTGGTGCCACAGTAATGTACTCCGAGGAATCAATCAATGTAGGAATGAACATTCAACCTGCAGTTTGGTAAGATGTGAGGTGATTTTTCTTGCTTCTCCTAAACTGTTATATTTGACTGAATTAATTTCTAAAATCCTTGTGACAGAGGAAGCAACTTGAAAGAACATTAGGAACTAGTTATTAGCATAAAAAAATAGCAAAATCACTGTTATTTTATTTTAAAATAAATACTTTTTATTTTAAAATAAGTATTTTTTAAGTTTTTTAGAGAGAGGAAAGGAGAGGGAGAGATAGAAACATTGATGAGAGAGAAACATTGATAAGCTGCCTCCTGCATGCGCCCCCCGACTGGGGATTGAGCCCTCAACCCAGGCATATACCCTGACCAGAAATTGAACTGGTTCACTCCAACCACTGAGCCAAACTGACTAGGGCAGGTTTTGATTTTATTCTAGGTCAGTAGTTTCCAACTATGTAAAAAATGAAGGGTAGCATATGTCTTTCTAAAATCCATCACTGTGTAGGTAAATTAACAGGTACATATAAAATGAAAATATTTCCATAACAGTTAATCTGGCTCAGGTTTGAGAAACATTCATGTGAATTATGAATAAGACTAGAGGCCCGGTGCACAAAAATTTGTGCACTGGCGGGGGGGCGGGGGTGTGTGTCCCTCAGCCCCACTTGTGCCCTCTCACAGTCTGGGACCTCTCAGGAGATGACCACCTGATGGCTTAGGCCCACTCCTGGGTGACAGAGGGCAGGCCCAACCCCTAGGTGCAGTCCCTGGTCAGGCTCAGAGCAGGGCCGATTGGGGAGTTGGGGCGCCGTCCCCGGTAATGCACAGAGCAGGGCGGATCGGGAGGTTGCAATGCCACCCTCAGTCATGCTCAGGGTAGGGCCGATTGAGGGCTGGGCCGCTGCCCTGTCACACTCAAAGCAGGGTCGATGGGGAGGTTGCGGTGCCACCCCCTGTCATGCACAGAGCAGGGTCGATAAGGGGGTTGGGGAGCTCCCCCCTGTCACTCATAGAGTAGAGCTGATCAAGGGGTTAGGGCACTTTCCCCTGTCACAAACAGAGCAGGGCAGATAGGGAGGTTGTGGCCCCGCCCCCTGTCACACACAGAGCTGCAGGGCGATCAGGGGGTTGAGGAGCTCCCCCCTATAGGCACAGAGCAGGGCTGATCAGGGGGTTGGGGCGCCTCCC